TAGAAAGAAATTAGACTATCAAGCTACCTGATGAACTCATTTGCCTTGGGAATGACTGACAAAGCAAATTCTGAAAATGATTTAATGGGGAGCAGAGGCACGGGACCCTCCGAAAAAGTGTTATATGTTGATCTCCACCAGGTCCTTATTCGGGCCTGATAAGGTCTTTGCATTTGTGCCAATTTAACAGACTTTAGGAGCTCTGTTTCCTAAGCATGCAGTTACTCTGACATGCTGAATCAATGCCTCTTCCCGCCTATTGACCCTTATTACTTTAAATGAGCTATATACAGACCTCTCCTCTCCCAGTACACTGGAGTGAATGTGTGTGTATGTGTGTCCAGCCTGAGTGAGGATCAGCAGTTGGCCTTGCTGATGCACAATATTTTGTGTTGGTGGTTTGGTTTCCTTGCATGACTTCATTGCTTGGGTCAGTTTGAATGTCTGCATGTTGTTGCTGCTGGGTGCAAAAATATAATAAATAAAATGCTTGTGAGGATCATCTGAAAGTGAACTGAGCTGCAGCGCAGGTAGTTTTGGGAGCCAGTGGTTCAGAAGCTAGACTCAGAAATCGTGGCCTCTAAACTGTCCAAACAGGCCGGAGCGTCAGAGGCCCATACGGGTACAAACACATTAATATCAACGTCACTCGCCGCCAGCACCCTGTGCCCAGACAGCTCCAGTTTCAGGCGGCATTCAGAGGAAAAGTCAGGTCATGTGCTGAACCTCAGTTTTAATTAGCTAATGGCACTCCCTGTTTCATCTCCTGCATCTGAGCTGATTGCTCACAAAAGACTCCATTTACCCCTGAAAATACACGCCATCTTGGCACTGGCTGGCGCTCAACGTCTCAGCGTCTGCTGCCGAGGGATTTTGCCACTCTCTTCCAAAAATCAGTCTAGTAAATCTAAATATATATGTTTGCTGGTTTCACACCAGTGGAAAAAGAGGAAATTCCATGATCTACGCTTTTTTTCCAGCAGGCTTCAACATCCAACTTTCCTTCAACAAGTGGTTTGACTGAGCGTGTCAGTGAGTGAGTGTGTGTGTGTTTTGGTGTTTGTCTGTACGTGTGCACATGTCTATGTGTTTGGACGGGGCCCCATTAAGCAGCTAATGCTGGCTGCGTTTTATCATTGTGAAATGGGCGGGTGACTCTCTGTGCTCCAAGACAACATGAAACTAAAATATGTGAATTTACCCTTTTATGGAGGAATTTTGTTTTGTTTTTAAATAATTTGTCAATTACATCACCTTAGTGTTATGAATTCTGGGACAAAAAATAATAATGTAATACTGTAAATTACTATGGGCATGCTGCACAATGAAAACATGTTTATCTCTCTACTTAATGACATATAAATCACCACAGGGATTGCTTTACTTTACTCACACGAAACGTAATAAGCATGCTTTAATAAATTTGACCAGGTGCCAGGTGCAAAAATAAAATTTTAATTGAAGCCTTGATATTATATCCAAGCCAAAACTGTCATAATAAAACATTACCTTCGCCATTTACAGCACATAATGCTCCCCAACTTGTGCTTTAGTTGGGATTTCTAAAAATACTGATTTTCCGAAAGATTCTTACTATGAAATTTTGCATATAAATACAGTGGCATAACAAAACCACTGAATCATTTTTCATGCCTCAAACCACTGACTGCACACTTCATCCCACAACAACGTAACCTCCTCTAATACCATTTAAAGCGTACTTTTGTTCTGAAAGTCTTACTTTATGGGTGAGTTTTTCTCAGACATCTGACCAAAACTGCTACTGCCAAACAAACTAAATAAAGTGCACAATGCTGTACTCCTGCCTGAAGACAGTCTATGCCATGTAAACCGTCTGTCCTTTCCACACAGACAGCCACGATGGTTTAGGAGGATATTTTCTGACCTTCATGGCTCACAGTGCAGCCTTCAGACACTTCAAATCCGCTGGGCCAGGCTCTGACAAAGCAGAACAATATCAAAGTCTAGGACCATGTCAGGGCTACTCCTGCTGGATATATTTTTAATATTTATGCAGACACAGGGAAAAAATGTAATAAACTAAAACAACAAGTGAATTAGGCATGAAACACAACAGGATATTGCAGAGAGATTATGTTGTTTCCTTTTCACCCGTGTGTCCATCATAGCTTGCCTGCCCCTACACAACAGCCCTGGGCCCGCTTTAATTGGAGGGGAGAGGAAACTAAACATATTTTCTAAAAGGCAGCAGAACTTTTAAGGGCCACAATATATGGAAGGAACTGACTTTTTTTTTTTCTTTAATGAAGAATTTCTGAAAATATTAGCCAGGTACAGAATGTGACAGGCCCATGCAGGGGTCAGGGTACAACTTATGCGTTGTGATAATGACTTTTTCCTGCCAAGACGCAGCATGAAGCAAATGCTGTGCAGCTGTACAGTACATACATCTCTCTCTCTCTCTCTCTCTCTCTCTCTTTCTCTTGTGTACAGATATATATATATATACGTGGAGAGAGAGAAAGAGAGAGAGAGAGAGATATGTGTTATGTTTGGATGTGAGCAGAGGCCTGCTTCATAAGTGTCCGCTGGAATCTGCTGCTGGAAAGATAATAAAGGGATTAGCTCTGGTTTTTCTAGGGCATTCGGTCCTAAAACAGAATGTCTCATCTGTTTCCTCTATATGAATTGCTGAAATTCTTGAATGCCTTTGTCTATTGCATGAACACAACAAACACAAGAGGTATCAGTGCTACTGGCCAAAAAGCACACAAGGTCAGACAAAAAATTAAAAAAAAGGAAAAGGACTTGGGATGGACACAACTAAAATACATGAGCATGCACGCTCTTTCAGATACACACAGAGACACTAGGTTCCCTATAAGTACAGAGTACTTAGTTAAATCCGTATAGACTACATACAAACACAAACACACTTACAAACACACACAGGGAGCGTGTTTATTTTCTCTGGCCCTCAAGGTTTATCTGCTGAAGTCCCAGATCAACATACATTCAATCCCTGCTGATTAGATGTGTTGATTCAAGCTTGAAAACATTTCACATTTCTGTTTATGTTCTGTCGGAAAAGTGCGAGTGTTACAACCAAACATACTGTACATGGAATCAATACTTCCTATTGTGAGAGTCAATGGAAACAATATCCCCATTTTCACATTGCTGCATGGCTGCAAATATGTATGTATGTGTGCGGTTGTGTGTGTGTGTGTGTGTGTGTGTGTGTGTGTGTGTGTGCTTGAAATAAGGGTGATCATAAGGTTAGGGTGTGTAGAAGTGTTTCACAGTGCCTCATGTCCACAGACAGAGTCCAGTGTTTCATCCACACTGAGCTGAATTGTTCTAGCGCTCACATATGGCAAACATCTCCAAAAAACACACACACACACACACACACACACACACACACACACACACACACACACACACGCACCTTCACAGTGATACATTTATGCATAAACCTATACGCATACAAACATGTGCCAACCAAATGTAGTTGCAGTCCTAAATGGTGTAAAGACACAACCGCACAATGCTCCAAAGAGCAACAACAACAACAAGTCGAATGAGAGCCTTTAATGCAACACAACTAAAGCAGAATTAGCAGTTGGGGCACGTACAACGCAGCAAATTACTTCCAAATTTTTAGTTCACGCTGAGTCAAGGAAGCAGAAATGCTAATACCCTGGAGTGACGCAAAGCAAGAGAACAGCAGCAACAGTTGAGTTAGTGTCTTTTTGGCTTCACTTGGCGTTCAGCTCAGATGTGCATTAACAACTTTCAGAATCATTCAGAGCCACAATGAATTTCTTATTCAACACAACACAAAAGTGCCATAAAATACAACTTCCTATTAAAAGATGCTCGCTTCAGCTAATTTTACAAGCCACTGTTATACAAGTTATTTAGAAAAATAAACAAGACGTGAAAAAAAAAAAAAAAAAAATCAGGTCTTGAGATAAAGCAGGTGTTGTAACAATATTGCAGACTCAGTTTTTTCAATAATTAGGATTTGGATGGGTTCCTGAACTTGAAGAGGACCACTTCTGACAGGGGCTTTGGGTGAAGCCGTGAATTGAGCAAGACTAGCGAATGTTACCGACCATCCCTCTGCGGCTCCCTTCTCCAGACTACTACATTTCTCCTCATGTTTGGCTTGGATATGGAGCCAATTCACTTAATACTTGTGGGACAGCTAAACATTTAAAGCTCCCATTTAAATGGATCAAGTGTAGGCATTGTTTGGTTATGTTAACCATATGTGTTGGCTTTTCATGATCTGAATCCCTTCTTAAAAAACAGAGTGCTCGTGAAAATAAACATGGCTTTGCCCTACACAAATTGTGGACTAATTGTGTATTTGGACTAAATCATTCTTAAGGTTGGAGGGCTTTTTCCATTTGCTAAGGGACGCGGGGAATGACAGCTTGACATTGATTAGTGTGTTGACTTGTGGAATTGGAGCCTTACCTGTAAAGAATACAACCACAAATCTATTTATACTACCGAGGTAGTGCTTCCCTTATAGCAGCTCACATCTTCAGTGAAAAAAAAAAACAACTTTTTTTTACATGCTCCACTAAAAATACAGGAATTACAATCATAACTGTTTCTCAACCAAAACAAAATAAAAGTTTCTGTTGAAAAGTAATCAGCAATGAAGCAAGTCCAGGCTGGCTTTTGGACACAGTGTGCATGTATCTTGTGGAGGAAAAATCATCTACAGGGACTGTATTACTTTGTGAAATATGTTCTTGTGTTTAATTCAAACAAAAAAACATTTTTAACAGATGATTGCAATTATGGGACAAAAAACACTCATAATAAGCCAATAAATACAACCTAATACTTTCAAAAAGAGAGAAAAATTAGTAAAAGTAAGAAGGCGAACTATGAGGGGATTTTCAGCAATACTGAATGTATGTGTTGTGAATAGAACTGACCACTAATGTCTGTTTTTCTGGGGCTGGTAAATGTTTTAGTGGTTTGTGATGACTCACCATACATTTGTTAGGTTTCTCTCCGGAGTGGACCCTCATGTGAATGAGCAGCTTGTAGCGCGCGTTGAAGGGCTTGTAGCGGCGAATGCAGCCGGCCCAGAAACAGGTGAAGTCCTCACCTTTGCGCTGGTCGATGTGGACTTTCTCAATATGCCTCACAAGCTCCTCCTGCTGCTCATACGCAGCACTGCAATCAATCCAGCGACAGACCTGCTTATCACCCAGTGCTCCTCCAACAGCTTCTTCCTGCTCGGGGGCTGTGTGGGACCCGGGAGGGCCTCCAGAGGTCTGTTTGTGTCCCAGGGAAGCGGCTGGTGCTGTTTGCTGGCTCTGGTGGTGCAGCAGGCCCCCAGGGCTGGGCCCCACGTATTGGTGGAGGTGGTAGGGCGGAGGCATGGCAGGTCGAGGGGGGTGGTGAGGGTGACGAAGGTGCCCACTGCGACCACTCAAGTGATGGTGATGATGATGATGGTAGTGGTGCTGAAAGAGTTCGTCTTCACTGGGAGAGAAGTCATCGAGGGGCTCCTGCTTGAGGGCAGCCCCCGATCTTTGGCCCCTGTCCAGGAGAGCCCCAGCATCAGGCCCCGAATGCAGCGTCCCAGACATTAGCGCCCCACTCATCAGTAGCCCCAACCCGTCCGAGCCGCCGCCTCCGCCTCCTCCTCCTCCTCCTCCTCCTCCTCCTCCCCCCACTCCTCCCCCGGCTGTTCCTCCAGCCCCACGCCCCGGCAGCATGGAGCCCTGCTCCTCACACAGCCCCTGACCCTGCTCCGGCTCCACTGATGACACTGAAGAGGAGGACGAGGAGGAGGAAAGGGACAGCAGGCAGGTGGCAGGTGAGGACAGCTGACAGCTCTCCTGTACCGTGGCTTGCTGGGGGCTGCCGTGAGGTGGGGGCCTTTGGAGGGCTTCCCGCGAGCAGGAGTTAGAGGGTGGGGACGTAGAAGAGGAGGAGGAAGAGGAGGAGAAGCCGGCACTGCTGGTGTGGCTGGGTGAGAGGTTAGTGCGAAACCCGTTGACGCAGGCCACCATCGACATCTGGGAGGAGGAGCAGATGATGGCGGTGATATTGATCTCCTCGGAAGCAGCGCCAGTAGCTGATGGGGAACCTGTGGCAGCAATGCTGCCGGTGCCAGCAGCGGCGGAGGACTGCGAGGCCAGGGACAGGCAGCGTTTCTTCAGACTGCTAGCACTGAGCAGCCGCGCTGAATGATGGGAGCCAGTTGGGGACAAAGCCAGCGGGGAGGAGCCATCTTCATTATTAAACGGTTGCACTGCGTCCCTTGACACAGCGCTACCTACACCGCCCGCTGTACATACGCCACTACCGCTGCTGCTAATGTGCGGAGCTCCAACTGTCTCGTCCCTTCGCACCCCCAAAACGTGGCCTGCTCTACAGTTCTGAAACCCGGCCTGAGATGTGCTATGGACCCCAGACCCTGTGCTGGAGGTCTTATAGCCCATTGAGTTCTCCTGTTTGATTAGGTAAGGCAGAGAGGAGCGAGCCCCGCTGGCACTGCCGCAGCCCAGGCCAGGGGAGGCCCCCGGCAGGGTCCTCTGGAAGGCAGAGGAGGATCTGTAAGGAGAAAAACACAGAGAGAGGAATATGAGCGCTTTTAGCTCACAGACTGATGACAGATACAGTCTGGTTCATCCTTCCCACCAGCAGCACCGTCAGAGTTTAGCCTTCCGCTTCTCCCTCCTCCTCCAATCTTTCACTCAGTTCAAATAACATTCATGCCATCCTAAATGAGTCCCACTGACCTAAAATATTTCATTCATCGTAAGGGGCCGTATGGAACAAACATTAACATTGGGTAGACCGTGTTATGGATTCGGTGACATAAGGTGATGTTGGACACCAGGTAACATCCACTGCTGGTGATCCAAAACGTTTTTATGAATAAATGAAACAGGATCTTTTAGTAGTGAGAGGACATGAATGGGCATTTATGACTAAGAATAGAGAGGGGGAGGGGTAGATGGCTACCGAGACAGAGAGGCCACTGGCTAGTGTGTCCATCTGACGGGCTTTGATGACACAAAGGGGTTAAACCCAACCCAACATTGGGGATAAATAGGGAGTCACCTGTTTTGGTGGCATAATTGCAGTCTATGAAGGGTCACCGTTTACAATACTGTGTATTATGGTGGGAATCTTTTCCCTGCTGAATGGGGAACCCAGGTCAGATTTCTCCATGCGTTGCTGTGATCTCCTACATAATCATTCCTGTCAGTTGGCTCATTATGGATTTTGTCCAAAGCCCCTGAGTGATGTGAGAAGAGCTCTCTTTTCTCCGGGGCTGTCTCATGAAGGAATCGTCTTTGTCCCTTCCCCTGAGCACGTCGGGGGAAAAACGGAGCTAACGCTAACTTGGGCTGGAGAAAGCCACTGGCAGACTTTGTCATCGTTGTTGTTAATAAAGACTTCCCCCCCCCCCCCCTCTCTCTCTTCTATTCAGGAACACCATTTCCTGTTTGGCTGTGGGGAAAATATTGAGAGACAATATGAGAGGAGCGAATGTTTGTCCAGACGCACTGTCAGTTGGATGACTGAGGATCGAGGGAAAGAAAAGAGAAGGGGAAAGAAGACCCCACAACACAGAAATACACTGGGAATTCTTTCTGACTTGACCAACAGTAGTCAAAGATTTCACAACAGAGGAATCGCATTAGTTTAACATAAATGCTGTACTTTGGACCCCTCCAGTGTGTTTTATGGGACTGGGTAAAGCTTTCAAGCTACATACAGTATGTGTACATCTGATTCACAATAGCACAGATAATGAAAAACACATTGTAGCTTCATATTGTTAGTAATACTATACCAAACAGGAAACATTCAAAACTGACACAGGGACAGAAATAACAGTGACACTTTACCTGGTGTCTTGGTGAGGGCCGTCCTGCAGGAGGAGGTCGGGGGTAGGTCTGTCGCAGTGGAGGCTCTGGAGGTAGAGCCCCCCTGAATGACCCCCCACCGGCAGTGGCAGGCTCTGCCCACATCGCATCAGGGTGCCCTCAGCGTCACCCAGCTCAGCGTCTACATCTTTCTCTGAGCAGTAGGCACCATTCACTGGAAAAGGACCAGGAGAGTGTTAGCAAACTGGCCACATTACAAAGGACCAGAATGTAGTTGATATAGTATTTGCAAAGTTTACCCTCTTTTTTTTTTTTATACATAAGGAGAACGGTGCATCCTTGATATGTGCCCATATCAGTATTGCTTTAGCTAGCAGAGCTGTGACCCAGTGTCACTTTCACATTAAAAGCTGGCTAAGCAAATTGCACTCAGTGATCTACTGACAGCCTTGGAAGAATAATCAGTTTACAATGGGATCCATGACATCAGTGACATGTTGAAATCCTATTAGATTAGAAATATTCTCTTGAGGAATAATTGTTGGCTGCCACAACTGTAGTATCCAATGATATATGGAGAGCTCTTTGGCAAAGTCTGATTGGTGACAGCAAGAATAACGCTGGAGAGATTTATTGCTAAATATTATTGCTGGAGTAGTGAAGGAACTTTATAAAAAAAAAAAAAAATGGCGATGTGTCCATTTTGGAAAAATAAACTAACTCAAATAAATATGTCAGGGAGGACCAGCCATTAAAAGTGTAGCCATTGTATTAAACAAGAAATTAAATCACATATTTCCCCTTTAAATTTACCACCATTTGCTTTTATTTTATGTCATCAATCATTTTGGGAAAACAATGCAGTGACCTCATGAACTGATTTAATTCATTTCTCATTTTATTTATTTAATTAGCAAGTTATTAATTGATGGGGGGGAAATCAGCAGTTGAAGGGTTTAGATTCTTGATGATGTTTCACCTCTCACTCAAAAGGCTTCTTCAGTAAGTTAAGGTTGGATATAGATCCATGTACTGAGGTGGAGGAATTTTTCTTTTTCTATCAACTATATTTTTATATTGTTTTACTCTTTATGGCACCAAGCATATTATTTAAACTTTATTTGTTTTGAAGCTGAATTTTTATCATTCCAATCTGAATATTTAATTAGAAATAGACGCTTTATGAATGTGACCAAAAATATAACAAAAGTAGAAAGGAGAAAGATGAAAGGGAGAGACGAGAGGTCTTGTGTATGAGGAAATATTTGTGAAGGGAAAGCCGATATCCCCACACACGCATGTGTAGGTGGCCACGCGCCCCCTGTTCCAACTTTCCTAACTCAATTTCTCAAATTCAATTTTCTCCTAACGATGTTATTGACAATGTTATCACACACCATGAGCTATTATTAATAAACTCACCCAAACACCATGTATGTGAGGGAGAACACAGAAAGGTACCCGCAAAGAAAATGAACTAGATGTGAAAATAGTCAGAGAAACTTTCAGCAAATATAAGGATTTGGGCTAAAGATGAAAAAGCAAAAAAGAAAAAAAGATTAACAAAGGAGAAAGAAAGATATTACAACATGAGTAACAGATGGAGAGGGAGGATAAACAGGACAAGCAGGAAAGGAAGTGTTTTGGAATATAGGAAAAAGGTTACAAGAATGAACAAAAGACAAGAGAAAACAAGGGAACTTTGTGAGCCATGTTATCCTCAGCTTAAGGAACATCTATTCACATATCCCTCCTACAGCTGATGTATCCACAGCCTCCTCTGCATGTGTCGTGTTGCGGGTCACAGCGGAAACACAAAGTAGAGAAAAGGCAAAGCGAGCAATGCAAACAGTCCAGTATCGCCAGGGGACCCAAAGGAACTACGCTGGTTTCACTCAAAGCCGTTAACAGGAGGCAAGATGTCTATCAACTCTGGTCTGTTCTCAAGCAATACAAATTGTTTTGTTTATCAAATTCTGGATTGTTCTGGGGGGTTTTTTTTGTTTGTTTGTTTGTTTGATTCCCTTTTTCACAATTTGCTGGCTGAGCATCCCCACCAATTAGCATTTACAACTATGTTTCTGTATGAAGGTTTCAAGGCCCGCTGATGTGAAGCCAAGTGTTTCCCTGCCTTAAGTCAGGAGTAATTCAATCAGGATGGCCAGAAGTGACATGAAGATGACTTCACATCATCAGAGATCTCTTAATTGGGCCTTGACTGCCCATGTGCATGCACACAAAAGCACAAACAACCAAATAAAAACACTGTCATCATAAAGCACAGGATGGACTGGCAGTCGGTCAATGAAACCTTGAATGAATGCACATGCTTTCTCTCACACACATATCAGAGTCACCACCATATCAAACGCAGACCCACACCAAGCAGCCCGCTAAATCAAACTCAAATTATGAGACAATGCTCTTACAAAGCGTATTGCTCTGTTCCACAGCACAGACTGTACAGGGTGGATTTTTGCCAGGAAAAGTTCAACAAGCTCTTAAAGCAACCATTGTTGTTTTTTTTGCTTTTTAAATATCCACTTCAAATATCTAAATGTGTCTTCACTGTCAGAAATGATTGAATGGGGTTTGCCCTGAGCTTGGTTTTATAGAAAACTACACCTAGCATTAGGGCTGGCTATTGAAACTCAACACTTTTTTTCAGTACTGACATCCAAACTGAGTCCAAAGAACCAATTAAAAAACTGTCAGCTACCGAAAGCTGGCAGCAAAAACCTGGTCAGATTTACAATCTTGCAGAAGTTTAAAAAGGGTTTATTGAAAAACATGTTTATATTTCACAGATATGGTATTTATGAAAGTCAAAAGTTGTATCAGCATTAGTATCAAAAAGTTTCTACTTAGCATCATTATTATTATTATTATTACCAACATACATGTGCTCTTAGTGAACATGAGAGGGGAGAGGGGATTTTGATTAATTTTGGGGCCATGAGTAGGTGAGACGGCCATGCTCTGAATCGTGCAAGACTTGCACACACACTTGACATTTAAATTTTTTTGGCCACTTGGAGGCAGAAGAAGCAACACTGACATATCATTACCTGTTAAATTGATATGGGAAACTTGAGTCATGTTAGTGTCCACCTTATGACTGGTGAGTCCAATCTTTATTTCTTCTTTAGCTCTGTTTTACTCTCCACCAGTTCCTGGGGGAAATATCTGGCTCCTTAGCCTTTTAATGCTCCACTTTGTTCACAAGCCAGTTGCTAGTTTTGTCTTCTGCCGTTTGAAGTTGGACAGGTGGTGTATAGTTTTTTTTCTAGAGTTTTTTTCTGCTTTCTGTCGAAATCCTCTGTAGAACGCAGGTTAACTGTCACCTGCGAGCACCTCCTTTAACATACAAGTAGTCCTGTGATCCACTGTTAATGTAGAAAATATTTGGATTAGCTGCTTTAAACACAATCTTGCCCTGTCCGCCTAAGTCACAAACCAGGAGCAGAACAGATAGAATAGCTCTTAGTGCCATTTGGAGCCACCGTGCGAAACAACCTACAGCAGCTTTAAAGTTCCATTTGTTTGTAAGATGTTTTTTTTTTTTTTTTTTTTCTTGTTATGTTCTTTCAGGGGAACTTACGAATACATCTGGATTTCTAACCTCTTGCCAGCATCTGACTTTCACATGTGTTTTAACTGCATCTAGGAGTTTGCGTGACAATTTGTGGCAGAATCATCAACTAGTCAGGAGACATTGAGTGTCACTGAAATCCTTCTTGCGTGGCTTTAATTTACTTGTTCCAATACAAACAGGTAGGAGCACTTCCAAAAAAGGGCTAAAAGAAAAAAAAAGAAAAAAAAGACCCTCCTGCCTGAGCTCATGTGTCCAACATTCATGATGTATGAATGTGTTGCGAAAGTTTAAGTGGACTGAAGTGTCTCCATCAGAGACACCTTCTGAATGTCTCTAGGACATTAAAATCACAGTGTTAAATGAGTGTTAAAGGTCTTGATCCCCCCTGCTGCAGAAAGTTAGCACTCTGGTGATTTAGAGCTTTACTACATTAACAGAATCAGTCATGCTCGCGTTGGGGAAACAGGCTCCTCAACATATGGTGGCTTGGATGGGACCCAACAGTAAATTCAGTTTATATTGAACGTGCCATGGTAATTCAGCGTTGAACATTTCATTGTGTGTTAAAGCCTTGTTTGATCAGGAGGTGGAAGCCAGAGAGAGCATCAGGGACTGAGGTGAAATGTAAAACATCCAGCAGCAGTGACAAGAGGTGAGAGTGTGAGTGTGTGAGTGTGTGTGTGTGTGTGTGTGTGTGTGTGTGTGTGTATACAGGTCTGTCTATGGTTGTGTGGACATATTTTTGTTAGAAACCATCGTGAGGACATTTTGGCCGGTCCTCGCAACTTCAAAGAGCTGTTTGAGCCTTAAGACTTGGTTTAAGGATTAAGATTAGGAATAGGTTTTTGGTTTGTCTGAGGGTCGGGGTTATCCATTCAGTTGTGATGGAGAGCTGATAATTCTTCTTTTGATTGTTCAGAGTTTATGGGTGGTCGGTTGAGCAAGGCAGCTGTGTGTTCATCATACTTGTGTTGTTAAAAAAATACTGTATCTCTCTGTGTAAGCCATTGTTATGATTAGCAAACAAAAATTAAAGGTACCCTGTGGAGCTTTCGACCTCTAGCAGAACTACAGAGCAATATTTTCACAAGTGGGTCCCCATTTAGTTTGCATCACGCACAAGCACAGGGGCAACATGATGCATGTTCCTACCACTGATTCGGCTGATGACAGTAAAATGCAAATAGGCAAAGTGTCCACAAAGGCAGGGAAGAAGCATAGACTATTTATAAAGATGGACATAGCCTCCAGGACACCACCCAAAGGTTTCTGAAGAGCAGTTTTGAAGCTCAGAGCGGGCTGCTCTGCCATCACCATCTTGGCAGTGCCTAACTCTGCTTAACTCCTGGCTAATCCAAGAAAGGGCAAAGAGGTGGAGTGTGTGTGGAGTCGAGACCCCCTGTCACTCAAAGTGGTTTGCCTTCAATTATGTATAACTTTAAGCCGCCCAAAACCATTTTTGTACCAGGCTGTAAACATGTTTATTTCTGTTGTTAAGTTTGGCATTTTAAGAGATTGCTGCCAGGGAAGAAGGTGGCTACTAGCAAATAAAGATGTATGTAAACAGTACAGTACAGATTCAAAAACCTTTCATAAAAATGACCTTAGCAAGAGGAAGG